AGCAAAACAAAACAAAACAAAACAAAACAAACAAACAAAAAACAAAAACCTCTCCAAAAAAGAAAAAAAAGGGTCAATTGCTCTCCTCTGAGTAATTATCCTGAGTCCTTCAAATAGCCATTCCTGGTTTCTCATCTGACTATTCCTCAGACCTCTCCCTGCCCCATGACTCAGCATTTGGTCAGACTGTTCTGTTAACAGCCTTTCTTTCTTTTTCTTTTTTTTTTAGAGAGAGATTTTTGGTATAGGGAAATTGCCCCTTGGGGAGATGGCCACACCACAATCCTTTCTCCGCTATTCTTTTCTTGAAATCTTGGGCATGCATGTACAATGCTCCCAGTGTGAGTTTTAAGCCTCTGGGTCTGGGACTTGAACTGCAGTTGATTATGTAGGAGTCCAACGGTGTAACCATAATGCCGTCGGCTGGTCACAAAGGCCTTTCTTAATTTCAAAATGGCTGTTGTGCTGGTGGACCCTAAATTGGCCAGCTACAATGTGAGCCCCACTTTTGCAATGGAGAATGGCACATATAATAGGTCTGCCTCAGGGGGCAGCAGGTGGCCTAGTGATTGAAGGTGCTGGACTCCTACATGGCCAACCATGGATTGAGTCCTAGACCTGATGGCTTGAAAATTATGGTTGATGTATGTGCCTGCATGCCCAAAATCCCAAGAAGAGACAGGAGAAGGGGTTTCAATGTGACTATCACCCCGTAGGAGTGATTTCTCTCTCTCTCTCTCTTTCTCTCTCTCTCTCACTGTCTCTTCAGAGAGTGCGTGCACAGTATGGCAAAAACCAAAAAAAAAAAAAAAAAAGAAAAAATAGTGCTGCTTCATATAATGAACTTGTACAAAAATTAAGTGCTAAGCTCAGGTTATGGTGCATGAAAAAAAGACCTAAATATGTCTCCTCTAGTAATCAAACATTCTATAATAAGGCACTAAAAATAGCTCTGGTGATAAAAATATAAAATTTTTATTAGATTTTATTGTTATCATTTAGAAATTTGTTATGGGGTGTGCAAGCTCACCAGTGAGAGACAGAGAGAGGGAAAGTGAGAAGGAAAGCCACCAGGTCTGAAACTTGAAGCATGGTCGGTCATGTGGGAGTCCAGTGCCTTAAACATCATACAACCTGCTGATCATGCATACAAAATTTCTAACATTTTTGGCAAAAGTGTCATGAAGCCAAAACATGTAATGCTCATGGTTTTATATCAGAGAAAGTTTTCCCTTCCTGAAGAGGAAATAGTGTTTTCCTGAAGATACCAGAAACTGTTTCCCCAACACAACTCAATGTTTTGAAAATCGTAGGGACCTAGTCAAACAGGCTCTTCAGTGGTTGACTCTGGAGAAACTTTGACTAGAGGAAGTATGAATTGCTGGAAAGTTGACCTCTGGAAGGCAGAAGAATTCATGGAGATGGAGGAATAAAAATGTAATTCACCTCATTAATAATCTGATCCCTTGAGAGTATAGAATCAGTAGGAACAATTTTTTTTTTCTGTACAGATCAGTGTCCCACAGGGAAATAGTATGTTTTGAGGTTGCAGTACCAAGAGGCAAATGTGTCTAATGAGCAGAAATAGGGAACTGTGGATATTTCCTCTGCTGTTGTCCCTCAGGGTGTGCAGTGTTGGGCTGAGTGAGTCGTGGTTGTTTGTTAGGGAGTCCCAAGTGCATCATGGACCCACACTGGAGCCCTTTCCTCTGTCTTTTCTGGGGACAGAGTTTCTGTCTCAGTCTTCAGCCACCCAGGGAGGAACGTGCATTTCTATAAGGAGAACATTCTCCCAGAGACCCCCTCCAGGTGAGACCAGGAGCTCAGTAGACAAACCAGGAGACAACGAACGGCCTAGAGAATGCAACCTGAGAATGCTTGGCTGAGGTCATCTGAAGGCCAGCCCCACCCTGGCCAGGGCATAGATGTTGAGGTGTTTGCTTTCCTGATAGATGAGTTACTGTGTGTGTTCACGAGGTGAAAACAAAAGTGAACGTTGATTTCAGAAACGTTGGATGTATTGCTGACAATGAAATGAAGGTGATGAAAGGCCCCAAATAAGAAAATGGGAGAGGTATGTAGTGCTTCCAGAAACCAAGAAACAAGCTCCACATATTTGCAAGTCAGGACAGTACAGAAGTAGGGTATCTTTTATTTATTTATTTTTTTAAGATTGGAAAGCATAAAAGCATGAGAATCAACTGTGTATACCTAGTATGGGAGGGGGTGGGGAGTGAGGAGGAGGGTGGAGAATGAGAAGGAGGGCAAGGGAGGGGTTCAAAGGGGAATAAAACAAGCCAAACATTCAACGAACAAGCAAACAGAAAATGATCTGTTAATGAAAATGTGTATGGATATTTTTGGGGACTGGGCTCACATATGGTGTATTCATGCTGGGAAAATTAATTTTGTACATTGTAAAGACATCCAGTGATTGAATGTAAAAAAGAAGAAAAAAAGGAAGTATGCTATCAGCCAGGAGTGGGAGGGAAATGCAGGAAACTGAAGGCATTTACATTTTCTTTTTAAGATGAGACTTTTCAAGTATGATTCAGAGTTAATGAGGGAGATCTAGAGTGAGGATTTCTTGCAAATATTATCTTTCAACAGTGGGTGTGTGGGACTTAGGTTTGAAGTGCCTTTGCTCACTGTGGAAAAACATTTTTTAAAAAAAGGATGTAATTGGTGACAAGGTATGTGCCTAAGAATCTTAGTTTGTGGTTTGAGATTTTCCATAGGAGAGATGAAAACCTAAAATGCAAGAATGACAAGACAAGATGGCAGATGAGAAAAGTGAATTAGGGTGAGGCACACCACCCCAGGACTGCAGCCATTCTGAAATTAAGAAAGGCCTTTAGCAATTGTGAAAATGCTCCAATAAATAAGAACGTTGCTAAGACATAGAACCAACCCAAATGTCTGCGAACAGATGAATGGATTAAAAAAGTGTGGAACATATACACTATAGAATACTACTCAGCCATAAAAAACAACAACACCATGGCATTTGATAGTCAGACTATGAAAGAGAAGCATTGTATGTCCCCACACAATATATACCAAATGTCACCACTCTATGCCAGAAACTGAATGAAAGGAAGGTGTAAAAGCATGGAGAACAATGATGATACTGGAGACAGTGGGGGAGGAGGGTGGGAAATGGGGAAGGGAGAAAGAAAGGGAAATCAAGGGAAAGAAGAAAGAAGCAAAACATTTAAGGGTCCCCAAATGGGAAGAAATCTGTTGCTTATAATGTATATGGTAATGCCTTTGACAGGACCAATATGCAGTGTATTCATGATGGGAAAATTCCTTTGGTATGCTGTAATGATACTGTTGTAACCAAATGAATGACCACCAAAGTCAGATTAAGGTTAAAGGGAGTCTTTTTTAGCTTTATTTTCCTTTTTAAAAAATTGATTTACTAAATGTAAATTTGATCAATGAACATCTTTACAGCGTATAACATGCTTTTTCCCATCAGTGACACAGTGGATATTAGTCACTTAAAGACACTACCATATACATTATCATTAAAAGATAACTTTTCATTTTAATGTCTATTAAATGTGCTGTTTTATTCCCTTATCCCTGCACTCCTACCCCATTAGCAACCCCATTCCATACTATATCTAGTACCTACAGTTGGCCTCCTTTGCTATTATACCTTCTAATCTTTCAGTTTCTGCTATCGAGTGCAGACATTTGGTATATATTAAACTGGGACATACAATGTGTTTCATATTCTGGTTTGCCTATGGAAGATTTAATATTAGAGAATTTTTGAAATTTCAAATTGGCTGCAGGTCTGTTCTACCCTAAACTGGACTGCTTTATTTGTTCATCAGAGGCTTACACATTGGAAATTCTTCTTCTTCTTCTTCTTTTTTTAAATATGTGTGTGTATTTGTGTGTGTGTGTATTTTAAAGAATTATTTAGCTAATTTTATTAATTATTACTATTATTATTTTTAGAGAGAGATTTTTGCTAAAGAGCATGTGCACTTTCTGGAGAGACACAGAGAGACAGAGACATAGAGTGAGAAATCACTCCTGAGGGAGATGGCTATGCTGAAATCTCTTCTCTTTCATTCTTCTCCCAGGATTTTGGGCATGCATGCACATGTTCCTGGCATGAATTTTAAGCCACTGAGTCTGGGACTCAAACTGTGGTCGACTAAGGTAAACCAGCCACCTGCTGGTTCCAAAAGTTACCTTCTTAATACAACTGTAAAATAGGTAATATTTTGGGGAAAAGGCTCAGAGTAGGATACAAATTCCTAATGAGCAATGTTTCTAGGGATGTTTTAAGAACCAGTAAACTATAGAGTCCAGGTAAAATATAGAAACACATTTCTTCCCTAGAAATACATTTCAGCATTACAGCTACATCAGCAAAGCCCAGTTATGTCTATAGTAAACATATTATATTTTGTATTTCCTGGTAGTCACATCCACCACATGGAACCAATGAATGATACAAAAATTTTAGAATTTCTTCTTCTGGGATTTTCAGAGGAACCAGAAATACAACCCCTAATATTTGGACTCTTCCTCTCCATGTACCTGATCACTGTGTGTGGAAACCTGCTCATCATCTTGGCCACCATCTCAGATTTCCACCTGCACACCCCCATGTACTTCTTCCTCTCCAACCTGTCCCTTGCTGACATCGGTCTTACTTCCACCACCGTCCCAAAGATGCTGGTGAACATCCAGACTCAGAGCAAGGTCATCACCTATGCAGGCTGCATCACCCAGGTGTATTTTTTCCCTTTCTTTATAGTGTTGGATGACTTCCTCCTGGCGGTGATGGCCTATGACAGATACATGGCCATCTGTCAACCCCTGCACTACTCTGTCATCATGAACCCCTGGTTCTGTGGACAACTGGCTCTGGCATCCTGGATCATAGCTGCCCTGCATGCATTATTACATAGCCTAATGGCATTGCGGCTGTCCTTCTGTACTCGTGTAGAAGTCCCCCACTTCTACTGTGATCTCAGTAAGCTGTTTCATTTTGCCTGCTCTGATGCCTTTATTAATGACATGGTAATGTATTTGACATCTGTGCTGTTTGGTGGTGGTCCACTCTCTGGGATCATTTATTCATACTATAAAATAGTTTCCTCCATTCGTGGAATCCCATCAGCTCAGGGGAAGCACAAAGCATTTTCCACCTGTGCCTCTCACCTCTCAGTTGTCTCCTTATTTTACTGCACAGGCATGGGTGTGTATCTTAGTTCTGCTGCTACTCACAGCTCACGCTCAAGTGCAAGAGCTTCAGTGATGTACACTGTGGTCACACCCATGCTGAACCCCTTCATCTACAGTCTGAGGAATAAAGACATAAAGAAGGCCCTGCAAGGATTATTTGGGGGAAAGCTATAAAAGGACCAATTTTCTGGGACAGAATAAGCTTCCCTGTTTGCCAGCCTCAATGCCTCCGAGCTAGTTGAACTTGGTCCTTCTATGAGTGCCTGGAGTTTCCATTTCTTTGATTTTAATATCTTCGAAATATTTGAACTTGTAATTTTAGTATGCCTTTAAATGAAGATTTCTGCTCTCTCTGATATTCAGTGGTTTTCCCCTTTGTCATTTTCCCACTTTATCAAAGTCATTTCCAATCTCACATCAAAATTATTTCTATTGTTTATTTTTAATTTTTAAACACATTTTTACATTTTTAAAATTTCATTTTCTTTTATGCATTCAATCACATTATTTAGCTTACAAAGTGAATATTTCAACAGGTGAACATTTATCCCTAGTCCAGTTGATAAAACTATAAAATATCTTCAACAGATAACACCACATTTCTTTGCCCCATTAAGGGGTTGCTTCTCTATTTTTCTTCTAAATGTCCTTCCTCAGACCCTACTCTTTCAAACACACTATATCTGGTATATATATCTATTTACTGTATTTCTGTATTATTTAGTGAAGCATTTTCTGTCTTAGTGTGTGGACACTTGGTATATATTAAGTAGGAGTGGGGACATACAGTGTCTCTCCTTCATAGCCTGGCTTGCTTCACTCAGCAGTAAATCTTCCATATTCTTCCACTTTCTGTCAAAAGCCAGGTTTTTATTTTATTTTATTTTATTTTATTTTATTTTTTTATGCTTTAATGGTATTCCATAGAGTATATTCTCATGTATCTCATGGGACACTGTAAGCTTGGTAGGAATTATTTTTTCTCAAATGGCATAGATCATAGTGAATATTTATTTTGTTTTACTGAAGCAACAGTTCTGAGTTGTACTCCTTTCTGGAAATAAAATAAACTGTGCTTACAAAGTAAAACCATGTAAATCCTTTGAGGGAGAAAAGTATTTGAGACCACGGTTTTTCACTTTGGATCCATTATTCCATCATATGCTAGGATCTTAACTGTTCTTGTTGATAACGTGGACTTTGGCATATAGTGTGCTTTATAACTGGTCAAAAGTTTTTTTTTTAATAAAAATTTAGTTTTTTAAAAAAACAGAGAACTTTTCAGTCTTTAGTCTGTTAATCATTCTCTTTTCTCCTTCCACCCACTTTCAACCACCTACTGCCCTCTCTTACAATTTCTGGTATCTACACTTATACTCTCTATTATCTTATCTTTGGATCTTTCTATTTCTGCCATAGAATGCAGACATTCAGTACATATCGAGTGGGGATATGCAGTGTGTCTCTTTCAAAGTCTGGCTCTCTTTGGTTAATGTTAAGGCCTCTGTAATCATCCACTTGAAATTAAACAGTAGGAGTTTCCTTGTTTCTTATGGCTGAGTAATATTTCATAGTATACATGTGTCTACACTTCTCAAACCCATCGTCAGCTTTTGTATACTTAGGTTGATTCCATATCTTAATAATTGTGAATAAAGCTACAATAAACATGGATGTGCAAGTGTCTTTCTGTCTGAGTGTTTTCCTATCCTTTGAGTAAATACCATGGCATGGAATTACTAAGTCATATGGTAGTTTTATCTGTAGGATTTTGAGGAACCTATATATTGTTTTAAACAAAGGTTGTACAAATGTACATTCCAAAGAACAAAGTAAGAGGGTTTCCTTTTCATCATAACCTTGCCAGCATTTGTTGTTCTTTACTGTTTTTGACCTTAGCCATTCTAACTGGGGTTAAATGGTATCTCGTTGTGTTTTTAATTGGCATTTTCCTTATGATAAGAGATTTTGAACATTTTTTTCCATATGCATTTTGACCATTTGTGAGTTTTGTGTGGAGAGTTGTCTATTCAGCTCATTTGCCCATTATTTTTAGAATTATTTATTTAATTTTATTTGTTCTTATTACCTACTGCCCTCTCTTACAATTTCTGGTATCTACACTTATTCTCTCTACTATCTTATCTTTGAATCCTTCTATTTCTGCCATAGAATGCAGACATTCAGTACATATCGAGTGGGGATATGCAGTGTGTCTCTTTCAGAGTCTAGCTCTCTTTGGTTAATGTTAAGGCCTCTGTAATCATCCACTTGAAATTAAACAGTAGGAGTTTCCTTGTTTCTTATGGCTGGATAATATTTCATAGCATACAGGTGTCACTACTTCTCAAACCCATCATCAGCTTTTTTCCATATCTTAAGAATTGTGAATAAAGCTGCAATAAACACGGATGTGCAAGTGTCTTTCTGTCTGAGTGTTTTCCTATCCTTTGAGTAAATACCAAGGCATGGAATTACTGAGTCATATGGTAGGTTTTTCTGTAGGTTTTTGAGGAACCTATATATTGTTTTAAACAGAGGTTGCACAAATGTACATTCTCAAGAACAAAGTAAGAGGGTTTCCTTTTCACCATAGCCTTACCAGCACTTGTTGTTCTTTACTGTTTTTGACCCTAGCCATTCTAACTGGGGTTAAATGGTATCTCGTTGTGTTTTTAATTGGCATTTTCCTTATGATAAGAGATTTTGAACATTTTTTTCCATATGCATTTTGACCATTTGTGAGTCTTGCATGGAGAGTTGTCTATTCAGCTCATTTCCCCATTATTTTTAGAATTATTTATTTAATTTTATTTGTTGTTATTCTTCAATTTGATCAGAGAGAGACAGAGACAGAGAGAGGGAGAGTGAGAAAGCAAGCTGCCAGTTCTGGGCTTGAATTGCTACCAGCTATGTGGAAGTTGAGTGTTTTAACCACCATGTGACCTGCTGACCCTATTTGCCCATTTTTAATTGGATTATTCATTTTTAAAGGCTGAGCTGCTCGAGTTCCCTTTGTATCCTGGATATCAATCCTTTTCCTGGGAAATAATGTGCAAATATTTTCTCCCACTCTGAGAGTTGTCTTTTCACTGTAAAAATTATTTTCTTGGCTGTGAAGGAGCTTTTTAGCTTGATATAATCCTACTTGTCTATTTTTGTGGTTATTTTTATTTTATTTCACTTACATGTAGTCATTGTATGTTTTCACAGCATACAATGTGGATTAAAAGCATAAATGCACTGCAACTCAAGCAACTCAAAGATATTACTACACACAACAACTTTCCATTCTTGTGCCTATTAAATGTTCTTTTGTTTTTAGTTTTTTCTTTTATTACTTTTTTCTAACTTCAGTAAGTTTCTAACTTCAGTCTGTTGCATATAAAGAGGTCTATATAAATACATCTTTTGAAATTACCCAATGTTACATAAATGAAAGACTAAATTAAAAAAATTTCAAAGATTTTTGTGATAGGTTGCCTGAACTCACAGGAGAGTGAGAGATAGAGAGACACAGAGAGAATGCAAGTGAGATATCCCAGGGAGGCTGGCCAAGCTGCAATTCCTTCTCCTCTTGTAATTTTGGACACACACACACATATACAGCATGTGTGATTTTAAAGCCACCAACTTTAGGACTTGAGCCACAGTCCAGTGCCCTAACCACCACACCACCTACTGACCCCATAAGTGACAATTCTTTTTTTTTTTTTTTTGGAGAGGTTTTTGTATAGGGTGCGTGCACTCGCCAGAAAGACGGAGAGAGGCAGAGACAGAAAGCGAGAAATCACCTCCCAAGGGGGGATGGCCAGAGAGAGGGCAAGTAAGATATCATCCCAGGGAGGCTGGCCAACCTGCAATTCCTTCTCCTCTTGGGATTTTGGGCACACACACATACACAACCATGTGTGATTTCAAAGCCACCAACTCTAGGACTTGAGCCACAGTCGATCATGTAGTAGTTGTCCAGTGTCCTAACCACCACACCCCCTACTGACCCCATAAGTGACAGAGAGAGACAGAGAGACAGAAAGCGAGAAATCACCTCTGAGGGGGGATGGCCACGCCTCAATCCCTTCTCCTCCATTATCCTCTTGGGATCTTGGGCACGCACGCACATGTGCCCAGCATGAGTTTAAGCCACCAGGTCTGGGACTCGAACTACGTGGGAGTCCAGCGACATAGCCAACTGCTGGTCCTTTTTTTAAAAAAAATGACAATTCTTAATGCATGGTATGAGCATAACACTCTCAAATGCTTCATCACAAACATCATGAAGCCAAGGATTGTAGAACTACACATGGTGTTGTAGCATGTGCTCTCCCATGTTGAATAGGCAATACTATGAATTCTGGAGATATCAACAACTGTTCTTTACCACACTTTATGCTTTTGAAATTGAAGGTGCTTAGTAAGAACAAGTTCCTCAGTTAGATTGAAAAGAATTTTTAAAAAAATTATATTTTGTTATTTACATTCAATTATTGTACATTTCTATAGTCTACAATATTTTTCAAGACATACGTTGACGGTATGGGGAAGTGTGATATTATCGGTTGAAGATATTTTGATCAACTGGACTGGGGAGAAATGTTCACATATTGAAATGTTCTCTTTGTAAGCTAAATAATGTGATTGAATGTATATAAAAATTAAAAAAATATATTATAAAAAAGACATACACATGCAGTATGTGATAATAAGTTTTTTGTTTTTATTTTTGTTTATGTTTTTTATATAGGGGATGTGAACTCACCAAGAGAGATGGAGAAAGAAAGTGAGAGAAGGAAAATGAGAAATCACCTCCAAGGGGCATGGCCATGCTGCAATCCCTTCTCCACAAGTTTCCTCTCAGGATTTTGGGCACACACACACACACACACACACACACACACACAGTGTGATTTTCAAGGCACTGGGTCCAGGACTTGAATCATGCAGTCAGTCATGTGGGATCGTGCACTTTAACCTTCATGACATAAACTGGCTTATGACAATTAAATTTAACTCACAGTTGGTGAAAGATGTTAATGACCTTTGGAGAACGGAGAGTTCATAGAGAACGTGTAATGAAGACTGGATTCCTCACACTTTTAACTTGGTCTCTCGAGAACTAACTAAGCAAAGCAGCAGGAAAATTTTCCTTTCTTTCCACGCCAGTGTCCACAAGGGAAATCAGATACTAAGAGGTTATGGTTATTAGAAGAAAATGTTCCTAATGAGTGGATAAAGGTAGCTGCAAGTATTTTATATGTCATTGTCCCACAAAGAGTACAGCCTTGGACTGGACAAGACAAAGTTGATGTTTTAGGAATCTTAAACCTGCAGAGGGGACCATGCTTAATTCTTTCATTGTGTCTAGTCTGGGGACAGAGCTTCAGTTTCCAACATCAACCATCCAAAGGGGAAGTTTACCCTCAGAAGACTGTCCTCTCTGAGAGCCCATACAGGTGAGTCTGAGAGCCCAATAGTACTGTAGGAATGGTTCAGAGAGAATGGATACCAAGAACATCTACCTGAGATCATCTGAGAGCCAAACCAGCCTAGCAAGAGCACAGAGATTAGTGCATTTTATTACTTGACTGACCAAGTTATTTAGTGTTGATTTATTTAATATGTGAACAATCTATGTGCCTGGCAGTCTTAACAATGCACTTCCCCACTGAAACTCCCATTTCAGTGGACCATAAGCTTACAATGATGGTCCCAAATAAAGCTTTTCTCACCCCGCTTAAAAAAAAAAATAAAAAAAACCAAAACAAACAAAAAACATAATGCAGTCATCATTGTGGACAATTTACTAATGGGAATTGACATCCAATTGAAAGGGTGAAAAAGAACGGGAGAAATAAAATGATTTAAGTCAAATTAGAACTGTGCACAGAAATTTGCAGCTCAAAAAGTAGGAAAAGTAGAATCAGAATTGATGAGATATGCAGTGACTTTTAGGTCTGTTAAGGAATTTTTGAAATGAGGGTTTTTGTGCATATTTCTGTATATTTTGAAGGATCCAGAAGAATGGAGTGCATGCAATTCTTTCCTTGCAACAGTAGTTAATGAGAAAACATTTCACAGTTTCTTCTTTCACACTGGGCTTTCACATAAGAAAGTTATTCAAAGGTCAAAATGAGAATATCAAAGTTTTAACTTAGATCTGATTTCTTACTGGTGAAGTTAAATAGGCTTGAGTGACTTAGCATTTTACTTTATTGTAAATCATACAAGTTTTTTGTTTTTATGTTCTGGGTTCTGAGTATTTTTTATTCTTTTGATTTTTAAAAATATAATGAATTGAAGTTGTAAAATAAAATTTCCAGAATACCATGGGATTATTTTTTTGTATTGATATAGATATAGAGTTAGTGAATGTGAAAAGTTAATAGATTTTGTGCTATCAAATGTAATACTCAGTCATGTTGTACACATACCCACTCTCCCAACTTTTTATCAACTTAGAAAAATTCTTCTTCAGTAGTAGATATAAGTTTTTTTTTTTCTTTTTACCATGGGTGAAAGAGAGAGGTAGATAGACAGAAAGAATGAAAGTAAGAAATCACCCCCCACCCCCAGTGGGAATGGCCATGCTGCAATCCCTTCTCCATTTTATTCTTAAGTTTTGGCCCTGAACATAAACTCATGTGGTGTGATTTTTAAGTCATGGAGTTCAGGACTCAGACCACAGTTGGCCTTGTAGGAGTCCAGCACCTTAACCCTTGTGACACTTGCTAGACCTCCAAATTTGACTCTTTTAATACAGATATATGACTGTATCCAGAGATACAAATTAGGGGAGATTTATTTTTACCCATGAAAGATTTTTTGTGATAAAATACTGTGTGATTCCAACAAGCTAAGGTATCTGAAGTAGTCAAAGTCATAGAAGTAGACAACGGAGTTGTTTTCTTTCTTTCTTTCTTTCTTTCTTTCTTTCTTTCTTTCTTTCTTTCTTTCTTTCTTTCTTTCTTTCTTTCTCTCTCTCTCTCTCTCTCTCTCTCTTTCTTTCTTTCTTTCTTTCTTCTTTTCTTTTTTTTTTTTTGAGAGGTTTTTGCTAAAGGGCATGTGCCAGAAAGACAGAGACAGAGAGAAAGAAAGCGAGAAATCACCCTCCAGGGGGAATAGCCATGTCACAGTCCCTTCTCCTCCATTCTCCTCTTGGGATCTTGAGCACGCATGCACACGGACCCGGTGTGAGTTTAAGCCACCGGGTTTGGGACTTGAACCACTATTGACTACATGAGAGTCCAGTGATGTAGCCATTATGCCATCTGTTGGTCCCGAGTTGGTTTTTAATGGATATATCATTACAATTATTGGGCCAGCTGATGATCTGGTAGTTAATGTGGCCAGATCACATGTGGCCAACTGCATAAGTCAAGTCCTAGACCAGTGGCCCAGAAAACATGGCAGGCGTGTGTTGTGCACATGCACGCCCAACATCCTGAGAGCAGAAGGTATTGTGACATCGCCCTTCTCCTGGGGTAGGGGGTGATTTCTCACTATTCCTCTCTCTGTGTCTGGGGAGAGCATGTGCCCAATAGCAAAACTAAAAACAAAACAAAAAACAAACCTATTGAAACATTACAGTGTACTCCATAAATATGTTATTGCTTGTCAATAAATAAATAAGTTAAAAATATTGTAGAATACATGATTATGGGGAAAAAGAAACGGGATAAAAATTCCTAAGCAGTTGGAAGCAGCAGATGGCATAAGGTTACGTTGCTGGACTCCCATGTAGTTGACTGAGGTTCAAGTCCCAGATCTGATAGCTTAAAAATTACTCTAGGTGTGTATACATTTGTGTCCCAAATTCTGAGAAGAGAATGGAGAAGAGATTGTGGCATGGCTATGGTCCCTGTTGTGGGGGGTGGTAATTTCTTGCTTTCTGTCTTTCTTTCTCTCTGTTGAGTGCATGTGCCCTATAGCGAAAATCTCTCTCTCAGAACAAAACAAAGCAAAACAAAACCAAGAATTTCTAAGCAGAGAAGGCACTATGGAAGCCTCAAAGGATTAGATCCAAACAGAAATATAGAAAATAACTTTGTGATTTCAAAATATTAAGTATAGCATTTCAACTACATGAGTAATACCCGTTCATGGGAAATTAGCTGTCATATTTTCCTCTTTTCAGGTAGTCATCTCCACCACATGGAACCAGAGAATAATACACAAAATTCAGGATATCTTCTGCTGGGCTTTTCAGAGAAATCAAAATTGCAGCCCTTCATATTTTGGCTTTTCTTCTCCATGTACCTGATCACTGTGTGTGGAAACCTGCTCATCATCCTGGCCACCATCTCAGACTCCCACCTGCACACCCCCATGTACTTCTTCCTCTCCAACCTGTCCTTTGTAGAGATCTGTTTCACCTCCACCACCGTCCCAAAGATGCTGGTGAACATCCAGACACAGAGCAAGGTCATCACCTATGTAGGCTGCATCACCCAGCTGTTCTTTTCCATACTCTTTGCAGGGGTAGATGACTTCCTCCTGTCTGTGATGGCCTATGACCGGTATGTGGCCATCTGTCACCCCCTGCACTACACGGTCATCATGAATCCCTGGCTCTGCGTGTTGTTGGTTCTGGCATCCTGGATCATGAGTGCCCTGTATTCCTTGTCACAAAGCTTAATGGTTTTGCGGTTGTCCTTCTGTGCAAATTTGGAAATCCCCCACTTTTTCTGTGAACTGAATCAGGTGGTCCACCTTGCCTGCTCTCACACCTTTTTTAATGACATGGTGCTCTATTTTTCAGCTGTGCTGCTGGGTGGTGGGCCCCTCGCTGGGATTGTTTATTCTTACTCTAAGATAGCTTCCTCCATTAGTGCAATCCCATCAGCCCAGGGAAAACACAAAGCATTTTCCACCTGTGCAGTGCAATCCCATCAGCCCAGAGAAAACACAAAGCATTCTCCACCTGTGCCTCCCACCTCTCCATTGTCTCTTTATTTTATTGTACAGGCCTAGGAGTGTACCTTAGTCCTGATGCTACCCAGAGCTCACACTCAAGTGCAGCAGCCTCGGTGATGTACACTGTGGTCACCCCCATGCTGAACCCCTTCATCTACAGTCTGAGGAATAAAGACATAAAGAGGGCCCTGAAAATAGTCTTTGGAGGGAAATTGTGGAAATTGTGAAAAAAAAAATCATTGACCTGGAGCTGAAGTAATGCCCATGATTGCAGAGTTTAAAGACTTAGAGCCAACACTTGAGATTCTCTGCTCAGACTGTGAAAGTACATGTCTATACAATTTAAGTGACACTCTATTTAGCTTTTTGCACTCTCTCATATCCAGCAATTAAAAAAAAATCTTAAATTTTTTAAATAGATTTTTGGTTCAGGGTGTATATGTTCGCTGGAGACATAGAGAAAGATAGAAAGCAAGAGATCACCCCCCAGGGGAGATGGCCATGTCACAATCAGTTCTCTAACATTCTCCTCTTGGAATTTTGGGCACAATACACATGTGCCTGGTGTGAGTTTAAACTGCCAGATTTAGGACTTGAACCACCTTCTACTATGTGGGAGTCCAGAGACATTACCATTATGTCATCTGCTGGTCCCAAATTTTTTCTTTAATATCTTTCAACTTTCGCAATGCTATTCCTAATTTTGTATTAGAAATATTTTACAAGTATCATTACCTCTTAGAAAGACATAAAACTCATTTTAATATTTTTCTATTTATTAAAAAATATTTTATTTAATTTTATGATTATTATTATTTAATTTTATGAGAGAGAGAGAGAAAGTAAGAAAATATGTTGCCACTGGGACTTGACCTATAATTGGTTATGTTTATAACTGGTTATGTGGGAGTCCAGTGCCTCAACCACCGTGCCACCTGCTGGCCCCCTATATGTAACTCTTAAAAGTAATCTTTACAAGCTAAATGTTGTATAGCAAATGAATGTATAATAATAATAACAATAAAAACCAAAACAACCAAAAAAACTTGTTTTATCAAATGATGTAAATAATTCTGAGCAATTCATGAAACTCATTTAAAAATTTTTCTATTTATTAAAGAATATTTTGTTTAATTTTATGATTATTATTAGTTAATTTTATGAGAGAGAGAGAGAGAGAGAGAGAGTAAGAAAATATGCTGCCATTGGGACTTGACCTTTAATTGGTTATGTGGGAGTCCAGTGCCTCAACCACCATGCCATCTGCTGGCGCCCTATATGTAACCCTTAAAAGTAATCTTTCCAAGCTAAATGTTGTATAGCAAATGAATGTATAATAATAATAACAATAAAAACCAAAACAACCAAAAAAACTTGTTTTATCAAATGATGTAAATAATTCTGAGCAATTTTCGTAAATTATTACTAAAATAACTCTTTTGGGTTGTATTCTGCCTATGGAAAAAGAAAATGACAATAAGAAAAAGGCAACTAGAAAACAAAAAAAATATCCATTACATTAGGCAACTAATGCCCTCAACATGATTTAGAGTATAGAAAAATCTGAAACTGCAGATTTTCATGTTTGTGTATGTCCTTGCTTCCAGGATCTCCACCTGAAATGTAAATTTTAATATATTAGTGTGTTTGATTACTGTAATTCACTCATCAGAATCCTATTCTGTTATCCTGTTCGGAGTTCACATTACCTATTGTATCACTGTTAAAAACTGAAGATCAGGCCCAGACTGTGAGGTGCAGCCATAGTATACCAGAATACAGAGCTGGAAGCCATGTGAGGAGAGGACTCTGGTTCCACTCCTGAATCCAGTCAGTCTGAAATCTCACTGGATGGGGGTGTGACGAGGATCCTGATGGGCTGAAGGACTGGAGGAAGGGAGTCTCAGCATGACCCTGTAGAGGGTGTTTCTTTCTACATATATCTCCATCTCACTCTTCCTTTTTCTCACTCCTCTTGTGTACCAACACATTTCATCATGAATAAAAACCATTTTTAAAATTGGCTACCTGAGTCAAAATGCCTTCTACATTGAAAGACAAATTTAAGCAAATAATTGAAACAATATGGCCTTAAAGTTAGAGATATCCTTAAATATGATGAAGTGAACATTTCGATCATGCATTGTATTAACTCTTCACCGTGTTTCTTGTTCATCCTGTTCATCTACTGGTTGAAGTATGGAAAACTGGGTCCATGTAGAAGGGTGGTTATTCATTGAGGTGAAGGATTTATTGGTGTGTTTCATGCTGTTTGATGAAATAACTTCCTGTTTCTTCTTGAATACTTCAGTGCTGGCTGTAATTATAACTCCTTGAAGTGTTTAAAATGAACTACCTCCCCCTCTTTTAAATTTTGTCATAACTGCTGAAGGGACAGTGAATAAAGAAATATCAATATCATCCTGTATATATTTCATTGTGCTTGATTCTCTTCAAAATTCATGATCAAAGAATGACTCACAGGAGTTTGAATTTCTGTCCCAGGCATTTGATTCAGGGTCACAAATTTCCTGTAAAAACACTTATGTCCTTTCAATTTCTCCTGGTTGCCTCTAAGGGAACATCAATGCAATCACTTTTTCTTTAGATTTTTTTCTTTCTTTCTCCCTTCCTTCCTTCCTTCCTTCCTTCCTTCCTTCCTTCCTTCCTTCCTTCCTTCCTTCTTCTTTCTTTCTTTCCATCCTTCTTCTTCTTTTTCTTTTTTTAGTTTTGCTATAGGTTGAGTGCATTCACCAGAGATAAAGAAAGGGAAAGTGAGAAATGGCCACACCACAGTACCTTCTCCTCTAGTCTCCTTAGTATTTTGGACACATACACAAATGTGCCCAGCATGATTTTTCAATCTGCTGGGTCCAGGACTCAAACGGTGCAGTTAGTCATATGGGATCCAGCACTTTAATCTCCATGCCACCTGCTGACCCATGACAATTAAATTTTAACTTATGGTTGGTGAAAGGTACTAATGACCTTTAGAGGCAAGAGAGTTCACAGAGAACATAGAATAAAGATTTATTTATCGCATTTTCAACTTGGTCTCCTGAGAACAGCAAATCAGCATGAAAATGTTATTTTCTTTCCAGACCAGTGTCCACGAGGGAAATCAGGTACTAAGATGTTGTAGTTTTAAGGAGGGAATGTTCCTAATGAGCAGATATAAGGAGCTATAAATATTTCCTCTGTCATTGTCCCTCAAGGAGTACAGCCCTGGTCCGGACAAGACTTAGTTGGTGTTTTTGGAATTTCCAGTTTGGCCAGTGGACCATGTTTAATTCTTTCATTGTGATTTGTCTGGGGACAGAGGTCAAGTTTCCATCATCAACCATTCAAGGGGGAAGTTATACAAGAAGACTGTTCTCTCTGATACCCCATTACAGGTGAGTCTGAGAGCCTGGTAGGTACTACAGGATCTGTTCAGAGACAATGGATGCCAAGAACATCTACCTGAGATCACCTGAGAGCCAAAATAGGCTAGCAAGAGCTGAGTGATTGATGTGTTTGGTTATTTGTCTGACAAAATTATTTACCATAGATTTATTTAATATGTTGACAAACCGCATGTTCGTCAGACTTAGCAATGCAGACATCATTGTGGACAACTTAGTGAAGGGAATAGACACCCATTTGGAGAAGGATGAAGAGGAAATGGGAGATATAATATGATTTCAGTCAAATTAGAAGATGTGCACAGAAATTTGCACTTAAAAAAGTTCGAAAAGTAGAATCAGAGTTGATGAGATGTGCAATGACTTTAGGGTCTGTTAATAAATTTTTGAAATGAGTATTATTATGCATAGTTCTGTAGTTTTTGAAAGATCCAGATGAATGCGTTGCTTGCAATTCATACCTTGTAACTGTAGTTCATGAGATACATCTCACAGTTTCTCCTTTCACATTGGGCATTCACATAAAAAATTATTCAAAGGTCAAAATGAGAATATTAAAGAGTTTATACTTACAACTATTTTCTCGATGATGAAGTTGAATAGGTTTGTGAGTCTGTTAACTTTTTACTTTTTTGGAAATTGTGGAAGTGTTTTGTTTTCTGGGGGGGTCTGAGTATATTTTATTCTTTTTTTTTCTTTTAATAATGAATTGAAGTTTTAAAATAAAAATTTCAGGATACCATTGAATTATTATATGTGTTGATAGATATATATTGGGTGAATGTGAAAAATTAATAGGTTTTATGTTATCACATCTAATAGGCATCATATTGTGTTTGTGACCACCCCTCCCAAATTTTAACTTAGAAAAATTCTATTTCAGTAAGTAAACATAAATACCTTTTTTTTTAATTCTTTCTTTCTTCTTCCTCTTTTTTCTTTCTCTTTCATTTCTTCTTCTTCCCTCCCTCCCTCTCTCCCTCCTTCCCTCCCTCTCTCCCTTCCTTCCTTCCTTCCTTTCTTTCTTCCTTCCTTTTTCTCTCTTTCTTCTTCCTTTCCTTTCCTTTTTATTCCCATAAGGCACGTGTGCCAACCTGAGAGAGAGACATAGTGAGACTGATAGAGGGAAAATGAGATATCACCCTCTGCCCTCCACCTCCCCCCTCTCCCCACCGGGGTACGTCCATGCTGAAATCCCTTCTCATTTTATTCTTAGGATTTTGGCCACACATGCACACGTGTCCAGTGTGATTTTGAAGCATTGGTTTTGGGTCTCAGATCTTGATCAGCCATGTTGGAGTCCAACACCTTAACCACTCAACACCTGTTTGACCTCCAATATATGATCTTGTAATAAAGTTGTCTTAATACCAATCAACAGTTAAAAATGAAAAGAGATTTACTTTGATGCATGTAATACATTTGAAATAAAATACTGAGGGATTCCACTTAACTAAGGTATCTGAAGTAGTCGAAGTCATAGAAGCAGACAACAAAATGGTAGTTGCCAAGGGATTGGTACAAGGGGAAAATGAAGTTGATTTTCAATGGATATAAAGTTACAGTTATTGGGCCAGCTGGTGGTGTAGTGGTTAAGGTAGCTGGATCACACATGATTGACTGCCAGTTAAAGTCCCAGACCCGGAAGTCTGAAAAAAATGCCAGACATGTGTACTTGTACTCCCAACATCCTGAGTGAAGAGATTATTGTAGCATGGCCATTCCCCATGGAGGGTGATCTCTCACTTTTCCTGTCACTGTCTCTCTGTCCTGTGAGTGCATGTGCCCAATAGTAAAACAAACAACAACAACAACAAAACCCCAAAATCTTATTGAAACATCACATTTTACTCCATAGATGAGTACTATTATATTTGTCAAGAAATAAATAAGTTAAGAAATCATGTAGAATACTTGATCTGTGGGAACAAAGGAGTGAGATAAGAAGTACACAGCACTGTTGAGACAGGGAGGTAGTGTTGTTATATTTTGATCAACTGAACCAGAAAGAAATGTTCACATATTGAAATGATCACCTTGTAAGCTAAATAATGTGATTGAATCTATTAAAAAATGTAGATAAAATTAAAAAAAGGAAGTCCTAGCAGAGATGACACTATGAAAGCCTAAAGGGAATTAAATCCATACAAACATATAGAAAATAACTTCATGAGTGCAAAATATTAACTATGGCATTTCAGCTCTGTAATACCTGTTCAAGTGAAATTAGGAATTGTATTTTCATTTTTTCAGGTAGTCACCATGGAACTAGGAAATGATACACAAATTTCAGAGTTTCTTCTTCTGGGACTTTCAGAGGAACCAGAATTGCAGCCCCTCCTATTTGGGCTTTTTCTCTCCATGTACCTGGTCACTGTGTGTGGAAACCTGCTCATCATCCTGGCCACCATCTCAGACTCCCACCTGCACACCCCCATGTACTTTTTCCTCTCCAACCTGTCCTTTGCTGACATCTGTCTCACCTCTACCACCGTCCCAAAGATGCTGATGAACATCCAGACACAGAGCAAGGTCATCACCTATGAAGGCTGCATCACCCAGCTGTTCTTTTTTATATTCTTTGCAGGGGTAGATGACTTTCTTCTGACTGTGATGGCCTATGACCGGTATATGGCCATCTGTCATCCCCTGCACTACACAATTATCATGAACTCATGGCTCTGTGGACAACTTGTTCTGGCATCCTGGATCTTAAGTGCACTGTATTCATTATTACATAGCCTAATGACCTTGAGGTTGTCCTTTTGTCCACATGTGGAAATTCCCCACTTCTACTGTGATCTTAGTAAGCTGGTCCACCTGGCCTGCTCTGACACCTTTCTTAATGATATGGTGATCTATTTTACAGGTGTGCTGTTGGGTGGTGGCCCCCTCACTGGGATCCTTTACTCTTACTCTAAGATAGTTTCCTCCATTCGTACAATCTCGTCAGCTCAGGAGAAGTACAAAGCCTTCTCCACCTGCGCCTCTCACCTCTCCATTGTCTCCTTATTTTATTGTACACTCTTAGGTGTGTACCTTAGTCCTGGTGCTACTCACAGCTCACAGTCAAGTGCAACAGCCTCAGTGATGTACACTGTGGTCACCCCCATGGTGAACCCCTTCATCTACAGTCTGAGGAATAAAGACATAAAGAGGGCCCTGAAAAGATTATTTGGGGGAAAGGTATATTAGGACCAATTTTTCTGGAATAGAATAAGCTGCCCTGATTGCAAGCCTCAATTTCTAAGAGGTAATTTCTTGATTCTTGATCAGATTTTGGGAGTAGAACTTTGTCCTATGACTTCTGGGAGTTGGCATTCCTCTGATTTCAATATCTTTGTATAATTTTAGTGAGTTTCTAAATTAAGATTTCTGCTCTACTATCCAGTGGCTGTCCATTTGTCATTTTCCCACTTCCCTGAAGTCTTTTTCCAATCTTTCATCAAAATTATTTGTAAATTCTCAGTCATCTCATGGATCAATGTGGGCTCGGTAGAAATTATTTCTTCTCAAGTGACATAGATCATAGTGAATTGTATTTCTTTTGTTTTATTGAAGCAACAGTAGTAAATTGTACTCCTTTCTGGATTAAAAAAAGTGTGCTTAGAAAGTTAAACCCTTATGGGACCAGTAGTTGGTATAATGGTTAAGGCAGAGAATTCCATGTGGCAGATTGCAGTTTGAATTCTGGATTTGGTGGCTTGAAACTCACATCAGGCATGTATGTGTCTGAAATCCAGAGAGGAGAATGGAGGAGAAGAGACTGTGGCATGGCCACTGGAGTTCTGAGTTCTGTCTCTATGTCTCTTTATGTACTTCTGGCAAGCACATGATCCTATAGCAATATATATATATATATATATATATATATTCTCTATATTACACACACACTAAATAAATAAAACATCACACACACACACTCCATAAATAAATAAAAAATGTAAAACAATTTAAATTCTTTGGTGGAAAAAAGTTCTGAAGAAGACAGTTTTTCATTTTTGGGTCCATCATTCAATCACATATTAGGATTAAATTTTTTTTTTTTTTTTTGCTGGAGTACATAGTAATTCCATTTATTTATTTATTTTAGAAACTTCCATACTGTTTTCTATTGTGGCTACACTATTTTATATTCCCACAAATAGTGAACAACGGTTCCAATTTCTCTACAGCTTCCCCAACACTTGTTCTTTCTCTTTTTTTCTTTCTTTTCTCTCTCTTAGGATTTTAACTGGTCTTCTTGATAATGTGGACTTTGGGTTCTAATGTATTTTATAACCGATCAAAATTTTTTTAAAATTATTTTTTAAAGCTAAAATTACAGATCTTTTTCTTGTTTTAAACTTTAGGACTTTACCACTTTTTGTCTGTTAATTTTTCCTTCTCTTCTCTCCTTCCACCCACCTTCAACCACCCACTGCCCTCCTTACAATCTCTGCTGCCTACACTTATCCTCTCTACTATCAGGATCTTTCCATTTTCGCCATAGAGTTCAGACATTCAGTACATATTGAGTAAGAATATGAAGTGCATCTCTTTCAAAATCTGGCTCACTTTGGTTAAATAAGTCCTTTGGGGGCCAACAGTTGGCAAAGTGGTTAAGGGTGCTGGATTCCCACATGGTGGACTACAGTTTGAGTCCTGGACCCAGAGACTTGCTTTCTCACTTTTTCTCCCTCTCTCTCTCTCCCCACTCTCTGGTCAAATTAAAATAAATAAGTAAATAAAAAATTAAATAAAGTCATTCTTTAATTCTTAAAAAGATTAAGTCCTCTGTATTAATCCACTTTGAATCAAACAATAGGGGTGTCATTGTTTCTTATGGCTGAGTAATATTCCATAGGATATATGTGCTATCATTTTTCAATCCAGTCTTCAGTTTTTGGATACTTAGATTGATTCCATGTCTTAACAATTGTGAATAATGCTGCAATAAACACGAATATGCAAGTGTCTTTCTGTCCTTTGAGTAAATATCAAGGAGCGATATTAGTGGGTCATGTGGTAGTTCTATTTGTAGGTTTTTCAGGAACCTATTCGTTGTTTTACACAGGCTTGTACAAATACACATTCCCAAAAACAATGCAAGAGGTTACCCTTTTCACCACAGGCTTTCTAGCACTTGTTGTTCTTTATTTTTTTTTGTTCCTAGTCATTCTTATTGGGGTTAAAGGGCTTCTCATTGCAGTTTTAATTTGCATTTTCCTATGATGAGATTTTGAACAATTTTTCGTATGGCTTTTGTCCATTTCTGAGTCTTGCTTGGAGAGTTGTCTATTCAGTTAGTTTGCCCATTTTTTAAAAGAATTATTTATTTCATTTTATTTACTGTTATTCTTCAGTTTAATCAGAGAGAGTCAGAGACAGAGAGAGAGTTAGTGGGAGTAAGAAAGCAAGCTGCCAGATCTAGGACTCAAACTGCTGTCGGTCATGTAGGAGTCGAGTGCCATTAATCACTATGCCATGTTCTGGTCCTGATCTGCCTATTTTTAATTGGATTATTCATTTTTTTTTTAAAAGGCTGAGCTGCTTGAGTACCCTATATATTCTGGTTATCAATCCCTTGCCTGAGAAATAATGTGCAAATATTTTCTGCCCCTCTGATAGTTGCCATTTCACTGTAATCATTGTTTTCTTTTCTGTGAAGGAGGATTTTAGCTTGATGTGATCCTACTTGTCTATTTTTGGATGATTGCCTATGCTTTAAGGGTTCTTACTTAAGAAATGGTTGCCTTCTCCAATGTCTTCAAGAGTTTCTTACCAGTAGTTTTCAAGTTTGGCTTTATATTTAAATCTTTGACCCAGAAAGTCCTATTCCCATCTTGAAGATGCTGGATTTGGTTCAGCTCATTTTCCACCATGCATATCATCGTCACTCTGAAATCCAGCATAGAGAATCATGTACTCTATTGTTTCCTAGGCTGATAATTTTGTAATCTGTGAAACATTTTGAAATGATAATTTTGTACCAACAATGACTAATTTCATGGGTGCTAGAGGTGAAGGACTCGACAGGGAGGGAAGTAGACATGGTTGCAAGACGGCAGAGCTGGCCATCCTTGTGTGGATGAAACTGTTCTGTATTTTGAACTTATCCATGTTAATAACCTGGTGTGATATTGTACTGTGGTTTTGCAAGATGTTTCCACTGGGGAAACTGAGTAAAGGAAAGGACACATGGACCTATCTGCATTATTTATTACAAATGCATGTTAATCTAATTTTCCTGAAATAAAAAATTTAATTAAAAATAAAAATGAAAAAACTAAAAAAGAGAGAATATTTAACAGACACAAGAATGAAAAGTTAATATCTTTGCCTTACTTGACATGTAGTGCATTTATGCTTTGAGAACTCACATTATATGCTGTAAAAATGTACAATGGTAAAATATAAATGACATAAAAATGAAGTAAAAAATACATACTTTTAAGAAAAGAGAATCATGTGAACTATCTTTTCCTTTAGAGTTGAAGTTTTGACATGTCTTGCTAATAGTGTATCTTACTGGAATAGTATTGTGTAAAAATGAAATGAAAAAAGTAAAACATGTAAGTTTCTAACTTCAGCCCACTCTATGTATATCTCTTGTAATTACTCATTGTTATATAAATGAAACACTAAATGATAATTCTTAAATTTAAAATATATTTTTAAGGCTTTTGTGATAGAGCATGGGTCCTTTCAGGAGAGTGGAAGAGATAGAGACCCCGAGAGGAGGAATATGAGAAATCACCCCCCAGCCCCAGGGGATGGCCATTCTTCATTCCTTTCTCCTTCAATCTCTTCTCAGGATTTTGGATACACACACAAACGTGCTCAGTGTGATGTTCAAGCCACTGGGTCCGGGATTTGAACCATGCATTCAGCCAGGTAGGATTCAGCACCTTAACCTCCATGGCACCAGTTGACCCATGATAAATTTTAACTCATGGTTGGTGAAAGTAACTAATGACATTTAGATGCAGGAGATTTCACAGAGAAATGTGTAATGAAGACTGAATTCATCACACTTTCAATTTGGTCTCTCGAGAGCAGCAAATCAACAGGAAAATGTTCTTTTCATTCCAGACCAGTATCCATGAGGGAAATCAGCTACTAAGAGGTTGTAGTTATAAGGAGGAAATGTACCTAATGAGCAGATATAGGGAGTTTTAAATATGTCATCTGTCATTGTCCTTGAAGGAATACAGCCTTAGGCGGGACAAGACATAGTTGATGTTTTGGGAGTCTTTGGTCTGGCTAGGGGACCATGTTTAATTCTTTCATTGTGTCTTGTCTGGGGACAGAGCTTCAGTCTCCATCATCAACTACCCAGGGAGAAATTCATCCTTCCACAAGAAGACTGTCCTCTCTGAGACCCCATACAGGTGAGTCTGAGAGCCCAGTAGGTATTGCAGGACCTGTTCAGAGACAAGGGATGTCAAGAGATGTCAACGGTGACCTGAGGTCACCCGAGAGCCAAGCCAGCCTAGCAAGAGTCAAGAGACTGATGTGTTTGGTTACTTGTCTGACAAATTTTTTCTCAGTAAGCTATTTACTATGTTAAATAGCCATGTGTCTGTCAGACTTATCAATACACATTATGGACAATTTAGGGATAGGACAAGACACCCAATTGGATAAGGATGAAGAAAGGATGGGAGAAATAAACGATTTTAGTCAAATTAGAAAGTGTCACAGAAATGTGCAGTTAAAGAAGTAGGAAAATTAGAATCAGAGTTGTGGTAAGATGTGCAATGACTTCCGGTTCTCTTAAAGCATTTTTGAAATGAGTATATTTGTGCATTTTATGTATTTCTTGAAGGCTTCTGATGAATGGATTGCTTGCAATTCCTACCATACCAGAGTATTTCATGAGACTTACATTTCACATTTTCTCCTTTCACATTGGGAATTTGCATAAAAAATTTATTCAAAATGGGACTATTAAAGAGTTTTTACTTACAACCGTTTTTTCACTGGTGAGGTTGAATATGTTTGTGAATCATTTTTTCTTTTAAATAATGCCTTATATTTATAAATAAAAATTTCAGAATGCCATTGAATGATTTTACATATGAATATATATATTAGGTGAATGTGAAAAGTTAATAGATAGTATGTTATGAAATCTAATAGTCTATCCTATTGTGTACATACTCCTCCCAAATTTGCATTAACTTAGAATAATTCCTCTCATTAGTAGTAGA